TTATCAATTTTTTTACACTTCATGCCGTTTGCAATTTATATTAGAAATCTCTTTTATTCCCAAGAGCACAAAGATTTCCTCCTATGTTTCCTTCTAGACATTTTATGTTTTTAGCTCTAACATTTAGATCTATAACTCATTTTGAGTTTTTTTTTTTTTTTTTTGTCTATGGTGTGAGATAAGGGATAAGGATCAAGTTTTTATACATGAATATTCAGCTGTTCCAGCACCATTTTTTAAAATGCTGTTTTTTCCCCACTGAATTACCTTGGCATTTTAGTTAAGAATTAGTCGATCATTTACATGTGAGTCTATTTCTGAACTCTCTACTCTGTTCCATTGATTATGTCTCTGTCCTCTGTCACGATTACTGTAGCTTCACAGTAAGTCTTGAAATCAGGTAGTGTGAGTCCCACAATTTTGTTCTCTTTTTCAAAATTGTTTTGGCTATTCTAAGTCCCTTGAATTTCTACATAAATTTTAGGATCAGCTTGTCAATTTCTACAAAAAACTCTGCCACAATTTTGATTTGGATTATGTTGTGTTTATAGATCAATTTGGAGAGAACTGACATCTTAACAATATTGAATTGTTAAATCCTGAACATGATATATCTCTCCATTCATTTAGAGCTTAATTTCTCTCAGCAATGTTTTGTAGTTCTCAGCTTATAAATCTTGTGTAAATTTTATTAGATGTATTCATAAGTATTTCATTTCATGTTTTTTGATGCTATTATAATTTTTTTTCGGTTTCAATTTCCAAATGTTCCGTATGCTGCTACAACATAGAATCACAATTGCTTTCTGTATGTGGACAGTGTCTAATCTATCTTGTCTGTCTAATCTATGTTAATACCAGTGTATTTTTTATTGTACATATTGTATATTTCATCTATAGAATCTTTATTTGGGTCTCTTTATATCTCCCATTCTTTTCTTCAGCAAGTTTATGCATTCCTCCAACTACTTGAACATATGGAATATATTTATAGTAGCTATCACAGCATTTTTTTTTCCTGTCAATTCCATCATCTCTGTCATTTTTCTGTCTCTTCATGTAGATTGTGGGTCATATTCTCCTGTTCCTTTAACTGTCTGTGTCATAGTCAGTTTGAGCTGCTATAACAATTTACCATAGCCTGGGTGGTTTAAACAACAAACATTTATTTCTCACACTTCTGGAGGCTGGGAGGTCCAAGATCAAGGTGCCGGCAGATCTTGTGTCTGATGAGGGCCTGCTTTCTGGTTTGCATTCTTCTTGCCATGTCCTCATGTGATAGAGAGCAGAGAGAGAGGAAGAAAGCTGTCTCCTGCATCTTCTTCTTCTTCTTTTTTTTTTTTTTTTGATTTCTTTTTCAATTATTTTGTTGAGGTCATAATGGTTGATAACATTGTGCAATTTCAGATATACATTGTTATTTATCAATTTCTGTATAGATTCATGCTGACCACCAATAGACTAGTTTTTATGTGTCACCATACATATGTGCCCCTTTATCCCCTTCACACACACACCCTCCCCCCAACCCAGCCCATTCTCCTCTGGTAACCACTAATCTGTTCTCTTTATCCATGTGTTTGTTTATCTTCCATATATGAGTGAAATCATATGGTGTTTGTCTTTCTCTGTCTGGCTTCTTTCATTTAACAGCATACCCTCAAGGTCCATCCATGTTGTTGCAAATGACACGATTTTGTCTTTTTTATGGCTGAGTAGTATTCCATTGTATATATATACCATATCTTCTTTATCCATTCATCATTTGAAGGACACTTGGGTTGCTTCCCTATCTTGGCTATTGTGAATAATGCTGCAATGAACATAGGGGTGCATAAATCTCTTTGGATTGTTTATTTTAAGATCTTTGGATAAATACTCAATAGTGGGATAGCTGGATCATATGGTATTTCTATTTTTAATTTTTTGAGAAATCTCCATACTGTTTTCCATAGTGGCTGCACAAGTTTGCATTCCCACCAGCAGTATATGAAGGTTCCCTTTTCTCCACATTCTTTCATGTTTCTTCTTATAAGGGCACTAATCCCATTCATGAGAGGAAGTCCCATCTCCAAACACCATTACATTGGAGATTAGGATTCAGAGTATGTATTTTGGGGAGACACAATCATTCAAGCTATAGCAGTCTAGAAATTTTTGTTTGGACACCTGACATTATAAATTTTACATTGTCAAGGGCTGGATTTTGTTGTATTTCTTTGAATAATTTTGGGCTTTGTCCTGGGAATGTAGTTATAGTATTGGAATCAGTTGGATCACTTGAGACTTTTGTCAAGCTTTGTTATGGAGGGTCCAGAGCAGCATTTAATGCAGGATTGTTTTAGCTCCATGACTCCTAAGGTGGTACCCTTCTGAGGATGATATCCAGTGCTCTGTGACTTGAAAGGTGTCACCACTCTGCCTGTGGAGAGAACTATTTCCAGCCTGGGAGAGCTCTGGGAATTTTTCTGCCACTCTTTTCTGGCATTTCTTCATCCAGTCTTGTGTTGCTCCCTCTGAAGGACAACTCTCTGCAGTCTCCTAACTTCTCTGTATGTAGCTTCCTTCTCTCTCTTATCTTGCCTTGCAAATTATAGCTGCCCAGGCTCTTTGAACTCTCATCCATGTCTCCTCAACTTGGCGAGATTGCCGTTCTCTGTTTGGGCTCTGCCCACTGCTCTGCAGCTTGGAAAGTGCTTCCAGTGACAGCTGGAGCTTCCAATGCTCAGATCCTTGTTCACCTCACTTCTCCCATCACAAACGGTAACGCTGCGATGTCTATCGCCCAACATCTTAACTCTGTTATTTAATATGTTTTGTAGATTTTTCCAGTTGTTTAATGCAATAGAGTACATTTGGTCTCTGCTAACCCATTGTGGCTGGAATCACAAGTCTTGCAGTCATGTTTTGATCAATATGTTTAATCTGATAATCTGATTGATACATTTATCTCCTCACATGCTTTTGCAACACGGGAGCTTTGAATTATGCTTCTTTGGCACACAATAAAGCAGTCATAAGTCTACCCCTGCAGGCAACTGCAAAAGTGCAGAGGTGACCCAGGCCCCCTGCAGTCTTCTGTCCAGAGCCATGACAGAGAGCAGTGAAGACTCACTCTCCAAATGACAGCTCCAGGCATCAGGGAAGGAACGGGGTGGAGGCCACTCCATCCCTGACTGTGTAAGCAACAACATGAAATCAGATGATACCAGAAGTGTGTTCTGAAAATCCTTCAGGGAGAGCCCGTGTTATATCGACTTTCTCCCCCAAATGTCGGGTACCAACATTGACTCTGTGGGTGAGGACTGATTCGGCAGAGTGTGATGAATCACTGGGGGTGTTTTGCCTTCCCTGCCTGTGCATCTGACGCCTGCCTTTCTGGTGCTTCTCCCTCTTCCTGACCTTGTCAGTCCACGTGGCAGCAGGTAGGGTAGAGGAAGAGAACGACTGCACATTTAACTTGAACATGGAAGGATTCTAGGCCAGGGATTGGGTCTGGGTGGGGAACAGATAATAAGGCAGGATGATAAGCAACAGCAGATAAAAAAAGAATGAGTGAGTCTGAGAAAAGCCAAGAATTCTTCTTCCCTTCCTGATTGAGTCAGTTTCAAATGATAGATTTCAGAGTCTTGCACTCTAAGACGCCAGCTGCATCCTATACTCGTCTCCTGGTGAATTTCTTGAGCCTGGCTCCATGCATCGTCCCTCTTGGTGTTCCCGGGATATCATATGCTCAGTCTAGGTTGTTTGATAATAGTCAAGCTGATCCAACTGGGCCGGTCACATTGTTTCACAAACATGCAACGCTCAGAGTTCCTTTTCAGCTGGAGCTGTATGGGTCACCTGCAGGAGGTCACCCTCACTGCCAGCCCTTTGCACAGAGCCTGCCTGCTCTCCAAGGACCCAGAGCAGCCTGTGCATGGAGCCTTTCCCCACTATGCCAGCCTTAACCTTCCTTCTCACACTCTGGTTTCTGATGACTAGGATGTGTCTGCCCCAGCAGATGGGTGGTTGTAAACTAGAGTGTACACTGGAAATATCCATGGCCGCTAAGAAATATACACATGTTCCTACTGCCTTTCCAGGCCAGAGAGTCGTATTCAGTCCAACTTGAGAAGGACCTACACATTTGAACTTTAAAAAATTATACCAGAGGGCCGGCCCCGTGGCTTAGTGGTTAAGTGCGCGCGCTCCGCTGCTGGCAGCCCGGGTTTGGATCCCGGGGACGCACCGACACACCACTTCTCTCGCCATGCTGAGGCCGCGTCCCACGTACAGCAACTAGAAGGATGTGCAGCTATGACATACAACTATCTACTGGGGCTTTGGGGGGAAAATAAATAAATAAATAAAATTATTAAAAAAAAAGTATTATACCAGAGATTCTCACATGGCCACATGGGTGAAAATCGCTGAAATACATTGTAAACTATTTGCAGTCTAGGACTATAAATTATATGTTTTCTAGACACAACTCCACTTCTATAGATTTTGTTCAGTGGAATCTCGTTGAATGTAATTAAATTGAATTTTGCACAAAGATTTCTGTGCAGATCAAAATCTGTGGTTTTGCTAGTATCACCCTTCCTGATCTTACAGATCAGGGATCAGCAAGTTACAGCCCACGGCCACTCAAGTCTGGTCAACCCGTTCCTCTGTGTCACTGCTGTGACTGCTATCAAGCTCCAAGGGCAGATTTGGGTAGTTGGGACAGAGACTATATGAACTGCAGAGCCTAAAATATTTGCTATCTGGCCCTTCAAAGAAAGAGGTTGCTGACATCTGTTCTAAGTAAATATTTTTATGTAAAGTAGCGTTCTGTGTACTCTTTGTGTTCAAATGGGATAGCATGCTATTAACTTAATTCTCTGGCTTTCTGAGAATTCTTGTCTTAACTAGAGTGTACTTTGCTTTCTCTCCTTAGAGTCACTTCTCTCCTATTATCTCCGCTGGTGAGCCAAAGGGGTTGAACCCTCTGTACCTGGCTGGGATTTCCTGCCCAGATCAAGCACCACCATGAGCGGGGTGAGCATCTATTTTGTTTTGGCTGGGAGTATAATTTCAGTCAATTGTGGCTACTTGAACATTGCACTCGAGCTAACTCTATCTTCATTCATTTTCCAGGAATTCATGAATTTCAGCAACATCTATGATTTAAGTGAGGATTATTTTGGGTCACCTAATACGTCAGATTACCCATCTGAGGATGATACATTATGTTCCTTGCAGGAGGTCAGGAGATTCTCTGGGCTATTTTTGCCCATTGCTTACTCCTTGATATGTGTCTCTGGCCTCCTGGGCAATATTTTGGTGGTGGTCACTTTTGCTTTTTATAAGAAAGCCAAGTCGATGACAGATGTTTATCTCTTGAATATGGCCATTGCAGACATACTATTTGTCCTGACTCTCCCATTCTGGTCAGTGAATCACGCTACTGGTGAATGGGTGTTCAGCAACGCCATGTGCAAACTGATTAGGGGTATCTACACCATCAACTTTAACTGCGGGATGCTGCTCCTGACCTGCATTAGCATAGACCGCTACGTGGCCATCGTCCAGGCAACCAAGTCCTTCTGGCTCCGGTCCAGAACGTTAGCACACCGTAAAGTGATCTGTTTTGTTGTGTGGGCGGTGTCAGTCCTGATCTCCGGCTGGACTTTCACGTTCAATCAGAAGTACAACGTGCAAGGCAGCGAGGTGTGTGAGCCCAGGTACCCCAGGGTCTCCGAGCCCATCAAGTGGAAGCTGTTGATGCTGGGCCTTCAGCTCCTTTTTGGTTTCTTCATCCCATTGGTGTTCATGATATTTTGCTACCTGTTTATTGTCAAAACCTTAGTGCAAGCTCAGAATTCTAAAAGGCACAAAGCCATCCGCGTGATCATAGCAGTGGTTCTGGTGTTTCTGGCTTGCCAGATTCCTCATAACGTGGTGCTTCTCGTGACTGCCGCGAACTTGGGTAAAATGAACCGCTCCTGCAGCAGCGAAAAGCTGATCGGCTACACCAAGAACATCACCGAGGTCTTGGCTTTCCTGCACTGCTGTCTCAACCCTGTGCTGTACGCATTTATCGGTCAGAAGTTTAGAAACTACTTTCTGAAGATCATGAAGGACATGTGGTGTGTGAGAAGAAAGCAGACATCACAGGGCTTCTCCTGTTCCAGACTGTACTCGGAAACCTTCATTTCCAGGCAGAACAGCGAGACGATGGACAACGATAACGCGTCATCCTTCACTATGTGACATTCCCGGAAGCGTGGTGAGGATGTGCTGACAGCCATGATGCCAAAATGCGTGGGAGATGCGGAAATTAAACGAAAGGAGGCCAGTGTCTTTCCTTAGGGATCAGGACCGAACGTGACCTTGGTCCCCATAAGTCTCTACACGGGGTGGTGGGTGGGCTCTGATATGTAGCATCTCCCCAGTTTACGGGACCAAGAGCTCTCTATGACTCCAGAAGACCTCACAGCTGGCACTCCACAAAACAGACTTTGGTAAATGCTGGATTAAAGCAAATTGTTGACCAACATGAACATTTCCAGAAATATTCACGCAGCACTCCTAGGCCACAGTTTCTTCTGGCCGTAGCAAAAAAATCACATGGTCTGGAAAACCAAAACAGAAAGAAAACAAATGAAAGCCCTCACACAACTCATCTTATCTATTGAAATGTTTACTGTTGCTGTTATAAACAGCACAATCAACAGGCTTGCCCTTGGCCTCATTTCCTCATGATACACTCACTGAGCAAGAGATTGTAAAAAGGCAGAAGAAAACAAGCTCAGGAAACTGCAGGAAAAGACAGAAAAGGTGGCTGGATAAGTGTTAGTGACAATGTTCACCGCAGATAAGGCACATCAGGTCCTAATGGGCCATTAGGAAAGTGTGTCACCTTTATTTCTCCGAGAAACTGATCTTTGTAATTGGTAACTCTCCTCTAAAAGTCCATTAGAGAGCCAGCCCTGATGGCGTAGTGGTTAAAGTTTGGCGTGCTCCGCTTCAGCAGCCCGGGTTCGGTTCCCGGGCACAGAACCACACCACTCATCTGTCAGTAGCCATGCTGTGGTGGTGGCTCACACAGAAGAACTAGAGGACCTACAACTAGGATATACAACTATGTAACTATGGACTGGGGCTTTGGGGAGGAAAAAAAAAAGAGAGAGAAGATTAGCAATAGATGTTAGCTCAGGGTGAATCTTTCCCAGCAGAAAAAAAAAAAAAAAGATCTCCTGGATCCTTAGAAAACACATGTAGCCTCCTAAATTATCTTGTAAAATATTAAAAAAAAAAAGTCCATTAGATTGACAGTTCTATAAAGACGGGATACTTCAGCACACAGAAAGGGCTTAATAAACATTTGTTTAACAAATCATAATGAAATTGGAGTTTATAGTGCAGTTAAAGTGTTAGGTGTTTAAAATTTTTTTTTTTTAATAAATAGAATACATTTTTTAAAAGAACAAGAGAAATTGACTGCAACAATATGGAAAGAGCTTTTGTTCCTTTCCCACAATGGAGATGAAAAAGGATGTCTTCTGGTCGAGGACTCTGGTTATGAGCTTCAAATGAGCTAGTGGGTAGGTAGACTCCTGTTGGCTTCTGAGGCTGGTTTTCAGTGGTTTTATCTCAAGTCTAAAGTTAATTATAGAATCAGATTTTAACAACTGTCTTCACCATCATAGAAAGTTCACAGAACTCAGATTTTGAAAGTGCTGTGTAAATATATGAACATAAGTGGAACAGTATCAACATATATTACAAACATATTAGAAGGATACTGACATGTTTAATTCTGACAAATGTGTTATTTGAGACTCTTTGTGTTCCTGTAAGCTGTAACTATGCCTCTATATGAAATTCAAAGTGATATCTTAGGATTCAAAGTCTGTATTTTTAAAACATGGTTTTGGCTTTGCAAAATAAAACTGTTTTGTGTGTGAAGTAGGTACATTCTTCCAGGTTCATGTTCTAACTGGGGGGACCGTGCTGCTCAGAGGTCTCACGTCCTTCAAATCTGTTAGCACTGAACTCCAGAAATCAAAGCAAGATGTCACGCAGACGCTTGGTGCGGTGAGGCCGATGCACTGATACGATCTGTGGAAGTAAGTTTGTTTCTAAACCGGCTCAGGAACATCCTGCTTATTTGGGACAGTTGGGAAGTTCTGTGTAACTTAAATCTTCAGATAAAGGAAGCTTATTTCTTTAAGCCCTAGCTCTTTTAAAATTCCAGCCATAATGATTAAAAACGTTTCTAAACTGTACTACATACTTTATGTCACTAAATGACATTGTTTTTTCTCCCTGCCTTGGGCGTCAGAGACCTGTGTCATGCTGCAATGCACGCTGACGCCCTCAGGAGACACGGCTCTGGGGGTCTTTACTCCTACATGAAATGGCTATGGATTGTTCTTTAACAGCTCTTATGTCTTCTTTTCACGGATTTCCCCATATCTTCTCTCACCGTCAGGCTCTGGCTGGACCTGAATGTGTCTGCCTTTAGTCTCTCCTCTGCACTCTCTGCAAACATGGTTCTGCGATGTTTGGGGAACCAGCTCTCTGCACCCGTCAGAACCGTGTATTAATAGGGACAGTGAGGTAGGACCCTCCAGTTTGTTATTAATAAATTAATCACATACACATGCATACGTTTATTACATATACATATGTGTATGTGTGCTTTGTGTATAATCATATCCATTTGTGCTGAGCAGAAGACAATTTTTCTTGGTTCCCATTACAAAGTAGTTAAGATGATCTCGATCAATTACTCTGGATAAATCGATTTTATTATACATGAATCTCAACAAAGGTGAAAGTTTAGGCACTGCAGCATTATCTTGCAAATTGCACATCTTGATAATAGGCACTTAAATATCACCTTGCACACTGCATGCTGATTTGCTTCTGAGCAATTTTTGTCTCTGAGCAAATATGCCTACTAGTTTTTAAATGAGGCCAGAAAAGTACAACATTTTCAAATCCTTTTAAGATTTCTGATAATGTGTGCAAATTCCAGGGACTCTGGAGGTATAAGTACAGAGAATCTGTCAGAAACGAATACAGTGTGTATGCTTATATTATACTAGCACATTCGTTTGGGAGGGCTGCCATAATGAAATATCACAGACCTGGCAGCTTAAACGAGAGAAATTTATTCTCTCACAGTCTGGAGGCTGGAAATCTAGGATCAAGCTGTCTGCAGGGCTGGCTCCTCCCGAGCCTCTCTCCTGGCGTGTAGACGGCCGTCTTCTCCCTGTGCCCCAACGTGGTCGTCCCTCCGTGCACGTCTGTGTCCTCATCTCCTCTTCTTGTGGGGACACCAGCCCTATGGGATTAGGCCCACCCTAAGGACCTCGTTTTACCTTAATCACCTCTTGAAAGGCCCCATCTCTAAATGCAGTCACATTCTGAGGTGCTAGTGTTGGGGTTCCAACATGTGAATGTTGAGGGACACAGTTCAGCAAATAACACCTAGTTTTCTGATGGTAGAGCAACTTTTCACGTTAAAGTTAATTTCAAACACGTGAGAATGCATTGCCGGATATTTCTTCCCTTCTAATAAATTATGTTCCAAATATTCACTCCCGTTTCAGTTTTTCAGATGCCTATCCCCAAGAATGAAGACGACAGAAGACAGCTGTGCTCTCGGGTCTGACCACACTCACCTGTTTAACCTGCAGGGTAACCGACTCCGGTCCACACCCACCGTGGCAGCACTTCCTCTGAGAAAGTCTTCCATGTCACAGTCCTCGTGGCCAGTCTGCTGCCCCCGATCCCCGCCCTGAGGGGGACCTCTCCCTCCCCCCAGTCCTCCTGCAGGGCAGCGGGAATTTCCCCAAACTCGGGCTGCCTCTGTTCTCCCTGCAGAGAGCTCCCTCTTCCCCGGGGAACCTCGGGAGGTGGCAGCAGCTGTGGCCACAGCAGTCAGTCGTGACGGTGCCCGTGGCGGCCGGGACCCCATTCTGCCCACCCACTTGTATAAACAGGTTGTTCCCGCCTTGTGGCCTCTGTTGTCATAATCCCAATCCTGGAGCCCCTGGTATCCTCCCTGGCAAGTCTGGGGAGAACAGCGAGCGACGTTTCACATCACAGATAGACAATCCGAATCATCAGAGCCCCCACAGAGCCCAGCTCCTCCGATGTAGTCTCCTCCTGCTGAAAGCCCCCC